GCAGTTCCATCTGAGCAGGCCCCTTCTGAACAGCCTCCATGGGAGCAGGCCCCATCTGAGCGGGCCCCTTCTCAACAAGCTCCATGGGAGGAGGCAGCTCCATCTGAGCAGTTTCCTTCTGAACAACCTCCACTAGAGCAGGCCCCTTCTGAACAGGCCCCTTCTGAACAGGTTCCTTTTGAGCAGGCTTGCTGCTTCTTTTATTTGACTTGTTTTTTAGAGTTTTCTTCTTTGTACTTTTTTTCACGCAGGTATTTTGCTTCTTATTCTCCTCCACTTTGCTGTCAGCCTTTGGCACTTCCTGACAGCTTTTGGATTTGCTTTCTACCTTCTTTTTCTTCTTTGTCACAGGTTCCTCACCATTCGCAGGATCACGTAAGGACTGGGCTTCAGCTTCCATCTTCCTTTTGCTTTTCTTGGTTTTACAGAACTTTTCTGAATTACCTCCCATGTGTACATCCATCTCTTTAGTCTCTGCTGCTGATTTGCGAGTTCTGGTAGTCACGTGGATCACTGAGACACTACTACAAGCCTTTTTCTCTTTTGAAACATCTCTTTTCTCCCCTTTTACAGACTTCTCATTTTTCTTTCCAGCCACATCCCCCTTTATTTTTATCTGCTCTGTTTCTGTTTTTTCATTGGTAATATTGTTATCAGGTAAGTCAGCCTCTCGTTTTTTGGTTTTCTTTAGTTTCACTTTTGAGACATCCATTGTTTTATTAGGACAAGTAGGATGCTTAGATTTGAAATGATACTGTAGATTACACTTCTTGGAAGCTGCATAGTCGCATACAGGGCAATTGAACTGCCGTGGGTTAACATGTAGCTCTACATGTTTTTTGAAGTTACTTCTATCTGCTGTTTTGTAGTCACAGTGCGGGCAATTAAGAGGTTTGGGCCCATTGTGAACCTGTCTTGCATGGCGGGTTACTTCATGTTGATTAGAGGCCACATAACTGCATTGATCACATTTAAATGGCTTCTCACCTAAAGGTAAATAAAAGGTGTCAGAGAAGACATAGATTAAAACATAAATTCAAGATTAAAATATACTTACAAGGAATCGTACATGTAAAATAACCACAAAGACTATTTATTGAAAGACTGTTTCATGCACCTTACATTGACCATATTTACTTGTATAACAATTCTCTACCCCATGACATTGTTTCTCAAACCAAGCAGAGGAATAAAATTATCTCAGTCAATTATCATCTTCAAAAAAGTTCATCAATTTAGAGCTTTCAAGCACTATTAAGGAATAGAGCCGGGCAGTGGCTCATGCCTGCAATCTTAGCACTTTAGTGCCCGAGGTGAGAGAAGCGCCTGAGGCCAGGAGTTAGAGACCAGCCTGAGCAACACGGAGACCTCATCCCTACAAAAGAAAAAAAAAAAAAATTAGCCGGGCACGGTGGTGTACCCACGTAGTCCCAGCTATTCAGGAGGCTGAGATAGGAGGATCGCCTGAGCCCAGGAGTTAGAGGTTACAGTGAGCTATTTGATTTCACTGCACTCTAGCCCAGGCAACAGAGCAAGACCCTGTCTCCAAAAAAAAAAAAAAAAACACAATAGAGATTCATCAAGAAGTGCACAATTATTGGTAAGTTCGGATGGCCTCTGGATGTTAACTCTGGAGCAAGGCTACTCAGAGAAACTAATCGATTTTAAATTGTTTATGTTTATTTAAAATAAATGTATAATGGAGTAGAATACAAAAATTCCCATAACTTTTTAAAAGATAAATCGTGAAAGAGAGAGGTATCTTTCACTCTGGACTATGTTCCCAAATCCTAGGTGTGAAAGTTTCAAAACTGCTTTAGCCTAAGGGAGCAAAAGGAGCAAAGGCTTTTTCTTGAAACTTAACCCTTTTCTCCAGCATGGCAAGAGCTGAGTAAAGTTTCACTCAGCAAATTTTTCCAGTGCCAGAGTTGCTATTTTAAAGCAAAAATATAAGCCAGGGTAATTATTCAGAAAACTTTATTTTTTCCCCTACCTTTTCTATAAAATGGGCAAAGAAATTAGGTAAACGAGAAGTGGCATACAAATAGATATGGTATGTAAAAATAAGCAGTCATAATCACAGATGCATACAAAACCAGAACCACCTCCACCCCCAAATTAAAGGCGTAAGAGTAATACATTCTACCTGAATACATACCCATCTAGATCACACTCTAGTAAATATTACCAAATGGTATCCATACCCCACTGGTCCAATGGAATGCATAGTAGAAAAATGGAAATTGACATTTATGAAAATTCATCTCTCAAACATTCTCAAAGTCATATCAAATCTTATTAAAATTTTTCTTAAAGCAAAACTCAGACATTAAGCAAAACCATGTAGATGTTAAGTTTTACATGATTAGAAAATGTCTGGTGATAAAATCATCACGAAAACAAAAACTTATCCAGATATGTCACATTGGATACTTAGATAATTGGACAATTCTTTCCATGTCCATTCACTAATAGATTCAATAAATAGGGAGGTTTCTATAACATACTATGTTATTCTACATTTGGCTTTATACTGTCCTCTCCAGTGAATGACTTAAATGGAGACAAACATCTGTTTAACATATATAGACAGACTGGAGAAAGACAGGTGTCATAATGGCTAAGAAGGTATCATAATGGCTAAGAACTTGTTCTAGAGTTAGAGTATCTGGGAGATAAAATACCGGCTCTGCAACTTGCTTACTGAGACGCTACTGAAACCTCTCTAGGACTCAATTTCTTTATCTACAAAATACTCTCTAAGCATTGTGAGCTATAAATAATCTAATCCATGTAAACTTAACATCGAGCAGAGAACAAGCACTCAATATGGCATTAACTGTAATTGCTTACTTTTGGAACCAACTGGTAACTTTGAGTATGGGTAAATAAAAGGGAAGATTCAAATATTTACCCCATCTTTCCCATATAAACCCTACCTCTGAGTAAACAAAGAGCTGGTGAATGGAGTTTATCTCTTTATGAAAACATTTACACTAATAAAAGAATCGTAATTAAAATATCACCATTTTATAACCACTAATGAATGAGGGGATCTAAGTAGCAAGCATCAATCAAGGTATAAGCCTCTACCTAAGAAATGGTCAGAGAAAGGGAGGATGTAGGAATTTTCTGTTTAAAATTTAATGTTATAATTTACTCGCCCCATTTGATTGTTCTTCCCCAATTTTCACTTTGTTGCCATTAAATCTTGTTTAATAGATTTTCCAATCTATTGGTACCTAGCTGAACATACATCCTTTCGCCCTGTACAAATGGTTCCTTTTTCCAATCCTACCTACATTTCTCATCTTTATAAATGTGTCAATTGTCTACTTTAATTCTTCCAAAATTAATTTCTAGGTGTAAGCCAAGTCAAAAGGGGAAAGATTTTTACAAGCTTTGCACATTCTTATTAAGAATAATGTAGAAAGAATGGCAAGGGAAATTTTTAAGTAAAGATTAATAGGGGCATACAACGGATTACCAGCAATAAAAATTAAGTTCTGATAACGCAACATGGGATGAACCTCAAGAACGTTTTATGAAAGAATGTTACAATGTTCTGTGATAGGAGAGGTCGAATAGCTTGTGGGGGGAAGACTGACTGGAAAGGGTAAGGAACTTTTCTTGGGAGAAATGTTCCATGTCTTGATCTGGGTGGTAGTCAAAACAGGTGAAAACAAAGTCACAGAGATGCATACTTAAGACGTGTGCCTTTCCATGTTTGTATATTAGTCCTCGGTAAAATACCGTTTAAAAACTTATTCTAGAATTCATGAAAAAACTCTCAAACCATAATGTCTTTCATATAATCCCAGCTACATAGTCCCCCAATAATAATCATCAAATAGTTGGTGAAAACAATAAACATATTGCTGAATAAAATATTTTCCCACCTTAAAAGTAAGTATAATAAATGGAAGTGAAAGTTGGCAAGTTGTTAGTTCCCTTTAACAAAAACATTCCTTGTGCATATATAATGGGAAAACATGCAAAATGAATTCCTATGCTAGCAGGACAGAGGCAACTAGCCAGTGTGATATATATACACAAAAATATCAAAATGGTGAATACAAACTAAATGGTAGCGTTTCCACCAACAGTTGGAAAGGGAGAGCTCGGGATAAGGTCAGTGTCTCTAGGACTACTCAGGAGAGGATACCCTAATACTATTAGGAAGAAATTCCAACAAAATGGAGAGTAACGCAAGATGATGTTGGTGTCTACATTTCCACTAATGAGCAATTTTCTATTTTACAAAACAAATATTCTGATTCCTCTCAAACTTGGCCTGAGAAGACTCATCCTGCAGAGAGGTGTTCCAAGGAAATGACTGATGGAGTTTTGCCAAATTTGTCACTTTTCCTAAAATGTATTAACTCAACAGAGCTTAATTTCTTCCAGAAATAACACAGACCAAGCTCACACATCTCTTCGCTAAAATACCTTCACATGAAGAAACCAAAATGTTCAAGGTGACCTGTGAAGATCAAACCGAGACCCTATCCTCATTAGTAGAGTGGTGAGTATATCCACCTCTTATTAAAAAAAAAAAAAAACCCAGACCCTACAGAAAACACCAAATAGTCACTCCATGCAACCCAGTCTAAAGGACTACCCAATTTGACCGAACTTAGCCTCACTTTATTTCAAGTATTATCAGCAACTGCTATTAAAAGTATTAAAACATAGGCTCTCCTGAAAATAATTCAGCACACTCATACACAAAACAGCTTAACCATTTTTATTTCCTGTTTGTGACTCACAAACTGTTACAGTCCAATAAAAGGCAATGAATGGTTGTTCTGCTCTCTCAATACAGTGTAGTTACAGTTTCATTATGCTGTGGCCTCCTTACCTGAGCCACCTTCTGAACCATCATGTTCTAACACTGCTGATCAATGAGAGGGTGGGGCAGTCTGAAGACAAACCCTAGGTCTTCTAATCTTGAGGAGTGACTATTAACCTCAAAGTGCTTATCCTCTCTGAGCCTGTGTTCTAACCTAACTGGGATTCAGGACCTTTATAGTACTCAATATAGAGATAACAAATAGCTATTTTTCGGTACCTAGCAGGCACACAGTACACAGTAGCTACTACTAGTTATAGCACAAAGTACGTGCTGCACTATAACAGTAACTACTGAAACATCTTTAAAATGTAACAAACAAAACTCAAGACATTTAGAAAACCTAAATAAAACTGTTTCAGGCAAAGATTATCAATTGGTATAAACACCACAACAAACATTTAAACAGTGACAAGACAAAGTATTATTAACTCGATGAAAGAATACAAATATGTCATCATTCTAATTCAGTGACCCAACATTATTAGCAATGGGTCAACCAGATGTGACTTTAAATGAGGGACATGATTTGATAGGTGAATACCAAACATTTAGATTTAATTTCCAGTTTACAAGTAACAGAAGGGACAAAAGAAAAGCTAAATGACACCATGAGAAAGTAAGTATACATATCCAGAAGGGAAGGCATTCTACAGAAAAAATGGCCATATTTATTCAATGCCTTAGATTCCCCATCTGTAAAAAATGGGGATAACAGAACTCATACAATTTAAAATAGTTATGAGGACTAAAGTGAGTTTAACTCATGTAAATCTCTTCAATGTTTTATTAAAGGGCTGGAGTACAGCTATCAACAGGACACGATGTCTACCCTCAACACAGCCTGAGACTGCATTCACATTACCCTCAGAGAATGAAACCAGGAAGCTCCCAAATGTAATAAAACCAGGTTTCTGGTAAAGCGGCACAACTCAACAGCTTAGGAGATTTACAAGGAACAAAGTACATTAACAAGACAAGCATGTAGGGTCAAGAAAGGCTAGCAAGCATACTATAGGACACCTTCATAGCTGCTCAAATAAATCAGAATCTGTTATATAGTCAAATATTTTATTACTGAGTTAAGGCAGCAATGTCCAATAGAAATATAATATGAATCACATGTAATTTTAAATTTTCTAGTAGTCACATTACAAAAGTAAAAAAGAACAGGCAAAATTAATTTTATTGCTTGTTTAAACCAATATATTCAATAATTGTAACACGATACACATGAAAAATAGATATTTTACATTCTTCATACTGTATTATAAAATACACACCAGAATGTATGTATTTTATAAATCTCAATTCAAACTAGCCATGTTTCACAAGTTCAATTAGCCACACATGGCTAGTGGCTACCCAACTGGACAACATAGATCTAAGGTAATTATTAATTTAAAGGAGCTGGGTCTACACAGACTTTTGTAAACAGCAAGATTTTAGCCTACTTTCCCCACAAGGACATACATTCTACATCTGGAAGGAGAGTATTCTGATCAGAAGTGGTGTTCATCAAGGGTAAATCAAGGCCAAAATTAAATTACCCATTCAAGATCGCCAATGCTAACATTTACTTTTTTACTTGGCCACTGACTACCTTGATAATAAGAACCAATTCTGAGCGGTGATCATGACTGTTTCAGGCACTGGAGTGGCTCTCCCACCTGTGATAGTCCTAAATTTTCAGTACAGGTTAATAAATTGGCATCCTGGATTATCTATCATTTCCTTTTTTAAGTTAAACTTCTGTAAATCAATCCTCAAAAGCCCTGTCAATTCTCAAAACAGAACAAACCCACATTTCCAGACCTGAGAAGCTAACAGGGAATCCCCGACACCAGGCAACAGCACACTAGGACACTCAGTGTTACACAGCTAGGGGGAACGAGAGAGGGTAGGGGTTCTTCAGAAAGGATGAGCCAGTCTTGGTCTATGTTAGTAATTTTTACTGGAGGAGTCATGGACCTCTTTAAAGATCTGAAGAAAATTAAGGATCCTCCTCCCAGAAAAAGTACACCCGCAAATTTACATTCAGTTTCGGGAGTTCCACCTATGGATTCTATGTTAGGAATCCCCATTTAAATACAGCTCCATGTTATGTTGACAGAACAGATTTTTGTTTTAATTCTAATGTCTAAATTATATTAAAAATAAATCATAAATAAATGACTCAGTTACAAGTCTAAAAGAAATTCCTTATAATGGTCGTTTACTGAAAATGGTAGAGAAGTTTCCAGTTCTTACCAACCTGAATGAGTACGCATATGTCTAGTTAGATGAGTCTTCTGAGAACTTGAGTATGGACAAAGTTCACATTTATATGGGCGTTCTCCTGCAAAATTATAATGAACATTAAATGAGTATTAAAATGTAACAAAATAAGCCAAATACAATTCTCATTAACGAAGTAACAACATTCGGTGCTGAGCACTTTTTAACAAGGAATTTTTTCCTACTCCTAGCACAAAGGTGGATTTATCGTGTATTAAAAATGCAGAATTATCTTTTAAAAAATCTACCCAAATTTTCTGATGCTTGGGTAATTTTTTTGATCCTTATAAATGAATGATCTACCATTTGAAATTGCTAACTTAAGGCAACAACCCTTCTGAGTGGGGATGTCGTTGCTTTAAGCTAAACATTCAAGTGGCAGATGTATTATATACCATTTACAAAATAGGTCATCCAGTGTAAAATTATAAAAGCCATAAAGACTAAGAGCAACTGAAGTAAAGATGAGGCCAGTGATTTAGTACTAAAGAATTGAAGACTCAAAGGCAGGACATGTATATTCTTTTCAGACATGGACCGTTAAGAGGTTTTAACAAAATAGGTTTTAACAAAAGGTGAACAATTTGTTTTCATACAGTCTCTGGACACAGAATAATTATGACCTTGGGAAAGTTACATAAACACCCAGTTTCCTCATCTATAAAAGTACTAATACCTTCATTTCCTGTAATTGTGAGAATTTAAATTAGATAATATATGCAGAGTATTTAACACTGCCTGGCACACAGTAAAGGCCTCAGTAAGTATCAACTATTAATCTTGTGATACAGTAACACATTTGTCTAATAAAATGGGACAAGAAGCCATGAAAAAAAAAAGAATGGTAATGAGTGGGAACTGTGCCTAGTAACTATTCTGCTATAATTAGCTATTATCTATAGATTAGCTGTAAAGAGCTGGTAGCAATACAATGCCTACCTTGGGACCTGGAAGAATTAAGATAGTTTAAAAATGTGAGTATACTTCTGTTTAAAAATATATATATGTATCAACTAACACCAAATTGCTAAAATAAAAAAATATATACACACACACACACACACACACACACGCGCACACACACACAAATAGTCAATAAGCACATGAAAAGATGCACATTATCATTAGCCACAAGGGAAATGCAAATCAAAACCACAATGAGATGAAGACTTCATGCCCACGAGGATAGCTATAATCAGAGGGACAGGGGCCCGGCGCAGTGGCTCACGCCTGTAATCCTAGCACTCTGGGAGGCCAAGGCGGGCAGATTGTTTGAGCTCAAGAGTTCGAAACCAGCCTGACCAAGAGTGAGACCCCGTTTCTACTAAAAATAGAAAGAAATTAATTGGACAACTAAAAATATATAGAAAAAACTAGCCGGGCATGGTGGCGCATGCCTGTAGTCCCAGCTACTCGGGAGGCTGAGGCAGGAGGATCACTTGAGCCCAGGAGTTTAAGGTTGCTGTGAGCTAAGATGACGCCACGGCACTCTAGCCCGGGCAACACAGTGAGACTCTGTCTCAAAAAAAAAAAAAAAAAAAAAAAGGAAGGACAGAAATTAACAGTACTGGTGAAGGTGAGTATGTGGAGAAATTGGAATGCTCATACATTGCTGGGACTGTAAAATGGTGTATCCAATATTTGGAAAATAGTTTGGCAGTTACCCAAAAGGTTAAATATCAGCAAGAATAGTTACCATACAGCCCTGCAATTCCACTCCTAGGTACATACCCAATACAAATAATGAATGTCCACATAAAAACTTAAAACATGAATTTTCATAGCAGCATTTTTCATAATAGCTGAAAAGTGGATACAACCCAAACATCCATCAACTGCAGAATGGATAAAGAAAATGTTACATATCCATACAAGAGAATACTATTTGTCAATAAAAGGAAAACAAGTACTGTACATATGACGACATGCATGAACTTTGAAAATGTGATACTATGCAAAACTAGGCGGTCACAGAGGACTGCATATTTTATGATTCCATTCATATGAACTGCCTACATCAGGCCAATCCATAGTGAATTATATGGTATATAAATTGTATCTCAACAAAGTTGTTATAAAAATGTTGATGGAAGAAAAAATTAAATACCACTGCAGATTAACAAGGAATCTATTAAGGATAATTTCCTTTTAAATTCTTTAGAGATTACTTTATCCGTACAACTCCACAAACTAGGCGTAACTACCTCTTCTAGAAAGCCAGGCACTGATTTTTCAGTTACATATACAGGCAAAAATGTTTTCTTTCAAAGTAGAATTTGTCAACTGCTTAAATAGCAAAACCACAAAATTAAAGAGGCCAACCTGAATGAAAGTAATCTGCCACCACCACGACAATTACTGTAGAATAAAGAGATTTCGGAACTTTAAGTGCTACTTGTATGTGACCTTGGGCACATCACCTTCAGGCTTTCAAATCTAAAGTTTTCCTCTCTGTAAACATGAACTGCCACCACAGATGCTATTTTCCTCAATGCATTGTTCTGAAGATTAATATATAACAGAGACAGCACCTAATTCTGGGTACTGGATAAGGAACACAATAAACCCATTAAGTGAACCTGAAAACTAGGCTACCTAATACTGCAAGTGGAAATGAGAAGTGATTCCTGCTGTCATTTCTTATCTCTACTCCTCAGCACTAGAATTTCCATAAACATAATTTTCAGAACTATGCATTTAATGCCAGAGATACTCAGAATTTACATAATCGAAATATTAACTTTCAACTTCTACAGCACCAATTTGTTTTCAAAATATACATTTTATACACACACATAAAAAATCACACTAAAGTTAAAACCAGGGGGAAAAAAAAATCTTTTCTTTTTTTTTTTTTGAGACACAGTCTCACTCTGTCGCCCAGGCTAGGGTGCAGTGGCGTCAGGTTAGCTCATAGCAACCTTAAACTCCTGGGCTCAAGAGATCCTCCTTCCTGCCTCAGCCTCCAGAGCAGCTCAGACTACGGGCACGCACCACCATGCTGATTTTTTCTATTTTTAGTAGAGATGAGGTCTCACTCTTGCCCAGGCTGGTCTCCTGGCCTCATGCCATCCTCCCGCCTTAGCCTCCTTGAGTGCTAGGATTACAGGCGTGAGCCACCTTGCCCAGCTAAGGTCTTAATGCTTTTAAGAGATTTTTTGTGGCCAGAAGCAGTGGCTCACGCCTGTAATCCTAGCACTCAGGGAGGCCAAGGAGCAAGAGCAAGACCTGTTCTCTAACAAAACATAGAGAAAGTAGCCGAGAGGGGTGGCCTGCACCTGTAGTCCCAGCTGTTCAGGAGGCTGAGGCAGGAGGATTGCTTGAGCTTGAGCCCAGGAGTTTGAGGTTGCAGTAAGCTATGATGATGCCATGGCACTCTAGCCGGGGCAACAGAGCAAGACTCTTGTCTCAAAAAAAGAAAAATTTAGACCAAATAAATTTAACACCAAAATATGATATGAGATACAACTAATGTTAGCTATGTAATCGTAACTTTATTGTAGAAATTTATCAACCTTATCCTGGGCAAAGTGGCAAAGGATCAAAAAAGGAAACAAAAAAACATAAACCTTAAAAAGGGAAATAAATAATGGATGATATAGTTACATACATAAAACACGGCCTTTAAAAATTAGTCCCCTGGATTAATCAGATGAAAATAAACCACTCTACAAAAAAATTTAAATGGGAAAAGTTGAGTTCTCCTTTCAAAAAACCTTTACATAAAAATCAGAAATA